CCCTTCCCATAGCATTTTAGGATTGCAGATACATTAATCTAATCGTCACAAACAGTTCCCACAGTCCGGACTGCTTGCCTTTACTACTTCCTTCACCACCTTCTACGACACGGACCAGTTTCCCTCCCTTCCCATAGCATCATAGGATTGTAAATACCCTTATCTAATGGTCATAAACAGATCCCATCCCCGAACAGCTCGCCTTTACTACTTCGTTCACCACTTCCTACGTCGTGGACCTGTTTACTTCCCTTCCAATAGCATTTTATTATTGCAGATACCTTAATCTAATCGTCATAAACAGTTTCCACACTCCAGACTGTTCACCTTTACTACTTCCTTCACCATTTCCTACGTCACGGACTTCAAGCTAGAGTCGTCATTTGATTATATTTATGATCCATACCGTTTCTGTTCTAATATCTGTGTAATAATTCTATCAGCTTTTTCTTTATCTACTGCATTCAAAAGTCAACAGCTGATCATATGTCTTTGTTTATGTGTCAAATACTGCTTCCATAAGGATTACATTGAAACTTTGAGACCCAGTGGGGCGGATTCCTGAGAGTATCTTTTGACGCCATATAGATGTTGGCACTCACCGATATGGTCTTTATCACCATGCAAAATTCGAAAACGATCTTTTCAGCCGTCTAGGAGGAGTTTGCGTATTACGAAATGCATAAGAGTCGACGTATAAGAGCTTCGCTCGCTCCGCTCAATTACTAGGTGGCGTTCGCAGAGGCATCCACAAAATTGAGCGGAGTCATCAAGGGTTCATATTATATTGTTTTTGTCATACTGCAGTAAAAACAGTCGTTTAAGTTCATGCGTTGCGGCTCTAAAGTAGCATTTTTACTCTTTAGGGAGTAAAAATTGTTTTTAGCCTCTATGGAGTAAAAAACAGCTGTTGTCAACTCAGTCGTAAATTTCTATTGTAAACGATTGCATGTATCGAAATATGTTGTATGTATCGATTCATGCTTCGTCATTTTAACCTACGGTCTACAGTCCCTTCCCATAGCATTTTAGCATTCCAGATACATTAATCCATTCCCATACTCAACACTGCTCACCTTTACTACTTCCTTCACCACCACACCCTACGTCGTGGACCTGTTTCCCTCTCTTCCTATAGCATTTTAGGATTGCAGATACATTAATGTAATTGCCAAAGACAGTTCCCACACTCTGCACTGCAAGCCTTACTACTTCCTTCACCACACCCTACGTCGTGGACCTGTTTCCTTCCCTTCTCATAGCATTTTAGGATTGAAGATACATTAATATTACTGCCACAGACGGTTCTCACACTATGCTCATACTTTACTACTTCCTAAGCCACTTCCTACATCGTGGACCTGTTTTCATCACATTTCATAGCATTTTAGTATTTTAGATACGTTAACCTAATTGCCACAAACATTGCCCACACTCCACACTGCTAGCCTTTACTACTTCCTTCACCTCTTATAACGTCGCGGACCTGTTTCCCTCTCTTCCCATAGAATTTTAAGATTGTAGATACGTTAATCTAATCGTCATAAACAGTTCCCACACTCCGGACAGCTCGCCTTTACTACTTCCTTCACCACTTCCTACGTCACGGACCTGTTTCCCTCCCTTTCCATAGGACTTTAAGATTGCAGATACCCTAATATAATCGTCATAAACAGTTCCCACGCTCCGGACAGCTCGCCTTGAGTACTTCCTTCACCACTTCCTACATCACGGACCTGTTTTCCTCCTTCCCTTAGCATTATTGGATTGCAAATACCTTAATCTATTGGTCATAAACAAATTCTACACTCCGGACAACTTGCCTTTACTACTTCCTTCACCACTTCCTACGTCACGGACCTGTTTCCCTCCCTTTCCATAGGACTTTAAGATTGCAGATACCTTAATCTAATCGTCATAAACAGTTCCCACACTCCGGAAAGCTCGCCTTGTCTACTTCCTTCACCATTTCCTACATCGCGGACCTGTTTTCCTCCCTTCCCATAGCATTTTACGATTGTAGATACCTTAATCTAATCGTCATAAATATATCCCATACTCCGAACAGATCGCCTTTACTACTTCCTTCACCACTTCCTACGTCGCGGACCCGTTTTCCTCCCTTCCCATAGAATTTTAGGAATGCAGGTACCTAAATCTAATCGTCATAAACAGTTTCCACACTCCAGACTGCTCACCTTTACTACTTCCTTCACCACTTCCTACGTCACCGACCTCAAGCTAGTGTCGTCATTTTATTATATTTTATGACCCATACCGTTTCTGTTCTAATATCTGTGGAATAATGCTATCGGCTATTTCTTTATCTACTGCATTCAAAAGTCAACAGCTGATCATATGTATTTGTTTATGTGTCAAATACTGCTTCCATGAGGATTACATTGAAACTTTGAGACCCAGTGGGGGGGGATTCCTGAGAGACTTTTTTAACGCCATATAGATGTTGGCACTCACCGATATGGTCTTTATCACCATGCAAAATTTGAAAACGATTGATTCAGCCGTCTAGGAGGAGTTTGCGTATTACGAAATGCATAAGAGGCGACGTATAAGAGCTTCGCTCGCTTCGCTCGCTCCGCTCAATTAGTAAGATAGCATAAGATTTCTTTACAACAATATAAATTTAAGAGATATATAATCACTTACTATAGCAAATTTATGATTGGATTTTTATGCATGGGCATTTAATGATATTTATTTGGCAAGATATCTTAAGTTCTATAGATGTTGCATAACAAATTTGCATTACAATAACATTAAGTACAATTTTATCTAGTGATTACAAAGGTTACACACATTTTCTGTGATATGGAATAATCCACATAGCAACTTTAAAATTGGTTTTTATCTACGGGAATTTAATTATGTTTATGTTAGTATAATATTGGCTATATAACTTAAGTTCTATAAAGGTTCCTTTAATAGCAACTCATTACAATAACCTAAAGGCTGCGCTCTACCTGTCTGGCGCGTGCAAATGCAAGGGGCTTAGTTCTAACTGTTTGTAGCCCCAATTGTGAACCGATTTAAACGATCTTGGTGTCATATATTTCGTCAATGTTATTGTAGGTAATCAGCTTATTTTGGGCTCAAAGATTGGTAAAAATGTTAAAATTCCGTAGGCTACGCGTTTTTCTATGATAAGTTTTAACACATACAAATAATTTTTAGAGAAAATCAAGAATCTGCAGTTAGTTTATTAAAAAGTTTAAGGACGAAGTAATGACCCAGATTCGAAAGGATTGCAAGCGCTCTTTATGGCGCTGTACAATGCAATGGTAGCTATAGGAACATCGGCGTTAAGCAACTACGTATTGAAAAATACGAGCTGATGTAGAGCGCACCCTTAAGTACAATTTTATCAGGGTTACACATTTTTTTATGGAATAATTTCCTTCACTAAAAACATAGCAACATTGTTAAGGAAAATATATCCTGGGGAGTATCCCCGATGTCAACTGCCCCTGGTCCTGGTCCTGGTGGTAACGTAGAGTGATCGAGTGAAGTGAGAAGTGACTAACCGACACTGTCGTCACCACGCCAAAAAGTAGGGGCATGTCAAGAGGTAGGGGGGACGGGAGGCTGCTCCCACTCCACACCTGTATAGCTCCGCCCATTCGCTGCGAGGGGGAACCACGTCTCGAAGCAGTGCCTGACCACGCACATTCTTTCGGACCAGTGCCTGACCCTTGCATTCTTTTCTGACTAGTGACTTTCGGTGTTATAACTTTCGGAGCAGTGCCTGGATGCACATATTGTTTCGGACCAGTGCCTGGATGCACAAAATGTTTCTGACTAGTGACTTTCGGAGTTGTGACTTTCGAACCAGTGCCTTTCGAACTTATGCCATTCGAAGCAGTGCCTGACCATGTAATTTCTTTCGGACCAGTGCCTTTCGGAGTACTGACTTTCGGACCACTGCCGCGCTCCCTACCATAGTATACGGTAACGTTAATTTAAAGAACCAAATTTTCTCAAACCTTGCGTTTTCCTCCCCCATTGCAAACGTAAATCACGAGTATAGCCCTGCAATAAGAATTTTATACTCTTTATTGCCAACCCCGTACGAAGGACGGGTACTCTGCTAGTAGTATAGTAATATAGTAAATTATTAAAACAAACCATTAAAAAATGTAAAACTGAACACATGCTAAAATAACCGTTGGAAGTTTTAAACATTTAGCAGCTAGCTATAAAATCAAATTCAACACTCGACTCTTAACAGTTGAAAATACTTGAGATTAGATAGCACAGCACAGTTCAAACGTTATCTTGGGTCTTCGGTCTAGACCAACGCCTATAAATGTTGTCGATTAACACAGAGCATCATTCAAACAACGAGATAAAGAACGCACTGTTTAGCAGTGTAGCAGTGTGTGTGTGTATTTCAAAACACCATATCACTCTAATAGCATAGAAAAGAAGTACTAATAGTCTCAAAGGTCATAGATTAAATCAGTCAGACTTATTTCTAAAAGACCAATGTAAAATATATAGCCTAAGTTCCTCAAGATTGTATAAAACTAATATTAGTCAGACTGTGAATGCAGTATACGAAATTGACAGAGACGGAGCAGTTTAGTAAATTTGTGCAATAATACTGTGCATATATTGTAGGTCCTACATTTACAATATACAGTAAAACTCTGCTTATTGAGTAATATTATTTAAACATTTATTGCATGTTTATGTTAAAACCTACATGTTTTAGGCCTTTCTGTTCTACAACCTATAGTATGCCTATATTTAACGTATCAATATAGGCCTACGTTAGTTCACAAAAAAATTAAATGAAGGTTAAGATTTAGGAAGGAATTATGTTCTTTTTTGTTGCAGTGGGTAAATAAAATGAAATGGAATTTCTCATATTATAGAGTACCTATAGAATATCACCAGTTACCACGGAAAAATATAAGGAGTAAGCATCAATTAATTTCATCTGTGTTATATTTAATGAAATGTGGAAATATACTACTTACCAACATAAATTTTCTGCTCCTGACCCCAGTCATCATAAGTGTTAAATATTCTTCTGCAAATCTGTTCCCAAGCGAACCCAGAGAATTCTTTGTTGCGATACCCCTCCACAGATCTGTCCCAAATCACAGGCCTGTCTCTCACCAGGTCGATGAGTTCGTCGATGTTTATCGTGTTGTTTATGATTTTCTTCACCTCTTGAAGTGCTACTTCAGTTTCCATCGCGAAAATGGAATATAGAAATTGCATCCACTAGTAAAAGTTTTCTCGGCTGGGCGTTAAATGGAGCGATTATAGGCTACTTGGACCTTGAACGTCGCGCCGGCTCTGCGAAGTGCGAACTCTACATTTACAGAACTGAGAATGACGTTTTCTAATTCTGATGTTGAAAGGAAGTTGCGTTGGCCTTAGTCCAGTTCGACTCTACCGCGACCCTGAGCGTAGTTCACTCGAATCACGCCAACAGCTGGGGGCGCCACCTGTTGGTTGAGAATGACATCATACTCTATAGTCTACTCAGTGGAAGAGAAGAGAAGAGAATGTTGTAAAGTCGCGTTCGCTTCGCACTCAACTCAGTCCGAGTCCAGTCTATCAGATCAATAATAAACCTAACCTATAAATCGCGGTCACTGTCATGATGGATCCCTCCGATTTAATTTTGACTTTCAATAGTGTTACCGGTCGCAAAGTTATCTACCATGTGAATGATGGTTATTTTTTTGCTAAACATAAGGAGGGCATCAAGCGTCTTTATCTTCGTTGTATAAAACGTCCGAGATGCTACTGTAGGGCGAGTATGCCGCTTGCACATGCCGACAGGACAGTGGGTAACTTTGTGGTGAGGGGATATCACACTCATGAACCTGATTTTTCCTTTGCGCAAGTTCAGGAACTGAGAAGAAGAATTTTAAGCCGGTGCCGCAATGAATCCACGAGGTACAGGACAATATTTGACGAAGAGTGTGCAAGGTAAGAGATTCAAAATATTTCCAATATTCAAGATTGTCTAAACCGAATATTAGCCAGAAATTATACGAAATTGACAGAACAGTTTATTGAAATTCTACACTAATACTGTGCATAATACAGGTCCTACATATACAATATACGGACACCCCTGTATTTTAATTACCGTAAGAAATATTATATAGTGCACCTGTTGCTCGAATTCGAGCAATTGTAAAATATTAAAGGCGTTTTTTTAACGCATAACAGTCACAATTTCCGTTGACTTAAAAGAGTCAACTCAAAGATAATGTAATCAATCCTCCACTCCAGTTATCGAAACTGAAAACGAACTCACTCTGAAAACAAACACTCTTGTGTGTGTGTGTATCACGTGTTTAGTATGAACAGCTGTAACTGTATTATAATTGATACAAATTAATCGTCTGTTAAAGTACCTAAACAAAATCTTTTCTTCATAAGAAATACATTGGGATTTTGATGGCCTGTGGGGCAAAGCCCGAAGACTTTTATTACAGGAATTTGGAAAGGGGGCGTCTACACAAAAAATACTTAATTTTGACACCTCGTTTGTAAAAATCCGTCAATTATTAACGGAGGAGTAGTGTTTCGTGGAAATCGCCTTCACGTATTATACAGTATATAAGGATACTCCCATTGCAGGTTTATGTTAAAAATAAAAACAAATCAATATTATAGTGTAGGGACTTGTTTTTAGGTTTTAAAAAATATCAATTAAATTGAATTTCTCATATTATACAGTAGGCCTACCTACGGTAGCTATAGGATATCAAAATTACCACAGGAAAAAAGATAAAGAGCATAATTTGTATCATTGACTTTATATCTACACAAGATGTATAGTCAATGTTTGTATGTTATATTTAATAATATATGGAAATATATTTTTACAGTACCGACATGACATAAATTTTCAGGTCTTGATCCCAGTCATCGTTTAAACTTAGTGTCAAATATTCTTTTACTTTTGCAAATCTGTTCCCAAGCTTATATTTTGGAGAAGTCGTTGTTGGTTGTTGCGATAACCCTCTACAGATTTGTCCCAAAAAGAGTATCGAAAATCGACCCTTAGTGACGTCAGACGTCTACTTGAATTGAATCACACCAACAGCTGGGCCAGCTGGGGGCATCATCTGTTGTGTTGGTTGAGAATGACGTCATACTCTATACTCTATAGTCTACTCAGCGGAAGAGGAGGGGATATTGGTAAAGAGTGAGTGAAAGAGAAAGAGTGTATGGACTGTGCTACTACTACTAGTGCTACTGTGTGTGTAGTGAAGAAAAAGTCACAGTCTAGTTTCGAGTTGCTTGCAGTTTGCAGCTACTACTGACTGTTGTCTTAAATAAGATGGTCGAATAACTATGTAGCATAGTTGGTAGTTTAATGTAGGCAATGTTTTAGTTCATGTAAATATATTTCATTATGTTTTTAACGTAGGTAGCTAATGAATTTTTTGTTAATTTGGCACATTAAAGACTTACGACTACTTAGCAGTATTAGTCCAATCAATTTAAGTTTTGTACTGGAAGCAGTTAGGGGAAAGCTGAATTTTTCTCTGCCATTCTACCATGTTGAGATGTGTATTTTCCTAATGTCCCCGATACTCCCCCCCCCATGTGCTAACCCGTTTTTTTTAGATACATTTACAGCCTCTTAGAAAATTAGCAATAACTTGAAAAAGAGTTTAAAGATAACACTAGGCATACCTTTGTATTTTCTACAAAAAATTTCCTACCATATGACAGCTTTCACTTTTGCCAAAAAAGTAACAAAGACATAAAAAATTGGTTATTTAGTTTAATTTTATGGATCTTTCCCTTTTTTATATGAGGCCATACAACAAAATGTTTGAATTTCCCTTTACCCGACTGGGTTTCTACTTAAATAGGCCTATTCCCTAAAAATTGTCAGATTTATTTCCTACTTAAATAACATTAATTTTAGTGAGTACTTAGGTTTGCTGCTAGGGGGAAGAGGTGTGTTTTACTGAAATGTTGATAGCTTAGTATGAATTAAACAAAATTTACAAATTTGATTAAAATATAACCATAAAGAAGCAAACTACAACAGTTTGTTTATTCTCCATAAGAATTCAAAATTTAAAATGTTGTTAATTATCTCCGTAACCGTTGGGCATACAACAACACTTCAATATACAAAATTATTTATTTTCTTAAGCTCTAGAAAATGGTTTGGAGAGAAACTGTAAAATTTTGTGTTTTTAGGGTCAAAAATGGGAAAAATGAATTTTTACCCCATAAAACCCCCCATTCCCATAGTCCGATTATGCTGGTTCGCAAACTCGCTCAGGCATAGGAAGATTTACACGTTTGTACCAAATTTAATCATAATCGGATCATTTTTACTCGAGTTATCGCGCTAAGGGACACACTTACACACACACACACACATATATATATATGAATTTGAACAGATGGCCTCTGGGGACCTCAAAACGAAAAGGTAAATCAGTCCCGGGTCTAGGTCTTACATGAGACCTACGGCAATAGCTTATTCCCTATATGGGAAATTCGCTAAAAATAGGCACATGGCAAAGTACACAATGTACACAATTTACCCCTGGATTAAAATAATTTGATTTTTATCAATATCCTCTTGAGTCTAGTCAGACTTTACACACAGGCCAAAACTTATTTCAGATTTAAAATAAGGCAAAAATACTTTCTGCAGTAATAAAGTTGTTGGTTTATTGTAACAAAAATATACACAATCATTTATACACTGGGTAAGGTTAACACTAATCTCATACTTGTAGTTTTATAAATTTATCAGTGTTGTAAACAATTGAAAAGATTTCCCAGCAAAAGCAGTTACACATTGTTGCAGCCAAGGGAATAGTTAGAAAATTAATAGTTTACACAGTATTTTGTTTCAAAAGTTTTGGTCAGATTCAGTTAGTCATGAATATATTTGATGAAAATATAATTATGATTTGATTGTGCTTCAATTTATACATATACGTTTTAATTGAAGAGTTTTTGAAGCGCTAACTTATTAGTACAGTACTAGAGATTCTTAATATTATGCTGAGAGTAGAGAGATTAAATATTTAGCCTATTATACTAACTAGGAATAAGGAATGGTAACATTAGCTATGAACCAATGGTAACTTTTGTAATGATGTCCTTAGAATAGATGGTTCTTCAAGAGGACTAAGTTCAACATTATTATTATACTTGTCAGATCTTTCTGTGTTTTTAGACGACTCAGGATTCAACTCGTCTGTTCCATCGCCATTAATATGCCTCGTAGACTCTACCTTCATGTTTTTGTAACCTTCTTTAACCACTTCTTTTACAAATTTCCTCTTTAGGGACTGGATTTTTTTTGGGGATAGTTGAGCCAGCAACGTTTCAAAATGTCCTGAACCAGTCTGCTTAGCGCACAATTTGGTCTCTAAGGAGTTTGTTATGTTCTCTAAATTCTTAATGGTTTCTTTTAAACTCATAAACTCTGATCTATCACATGATATTGTTTGTGTCACCTCACTAGCTGAGAAGTCTCTGGATGCTTCTGATAAGCTTAAGGTGCTTGTTGATTCTGGGCTTGGACTTTTAGTATTAGGTAAAGACAAATCACTCTTTGGTTCTTTTTTGCATAATTGGTGACTGGAGTTACAGAAGCAAATACTTTGAGTTGACGCTTCACACTTGAAGCTTGTGCTGATCTTGGACTCCTGTAAAAGGAAAACAAAATTAAAAAAATGTCTGTGGAAGGAACAGATGTTTAAAAATAAAATAGAAAATGATTAATTTTGTAAATTAAGAGACTTGCACAGCATATGTATTGTAAGAAAGGCCCATGTGGCCCTAACTTTGCCTGTGTAAATAAATGATTTTTCGTTTTCTTTCATTTTCATTTTCATGTACTGTTCTAGTGACAACTAATAGCTATTTACATTACAAGTGTAGTAAGAGCGTTTTTACATCACGCAGGTGAATGTTGTGGTATCCAAGTGTAAGGTACCTAAGTGATGTAAAAACGCTCTTGCGTAACGTGTAACGTACAAGATTTTACCTGACCCGAAAATATACAGGGGGTAATGTAATATTTTTCACTATCCATTTCACTCATCTTCTAACAATAACGTTCTTTTTCCAACGATAGCTAGATTAGGAAAATACTTTAAAGCAATCTTTAAAGCATAACAATAACATTTAAGCTCACAGCTAATGTCTAGCGTTGAACGTCGATAGCTCCATAGAGGTATATTTTATTAAGTTGAGCACTATACATCGACTCTTATGCATTTCGTAATACGCAAACTCCTCCTAGACGGCTGAATCAATCGTTTTCAAATTTTGCATGGTGATAAAGACCATATCAGTGAGTGCCAACATCTATATGGTGTTAAAAAAAGTCTCTCAGGAATCCGCCCCACTGGCTCTCAAAGTTTCAATGTAATCCTTATGGAAGCAGTATTTGACACATAAACAAAGACATATGATCAGCTGTTGACTTTTGAATACAGTAGATAAAGAAATAGCTGATAGCATTATTCTACAGATATTAGAACAGAAACGGTATGGATCATAAATATAATCAAATGACGACACTAGCTTGAGGCCCGTGACGTAGGAAGTGATGAAGGAAGTAGTCAAGGCGAGCTGTCCGGAGTGTGGGAACTGTTTATGACGATTAGATTAAGGTATCTTAAATCCTAATATGCTATGAGAAGGGAGGAAAACAGGTCCACGACGTAGGAAGTGGTGAAGGAAGTAGTAAAGACAAGCAGTCCGGAGTGTGGGAACCGTTTATGACGATTATATTAAGGGTCTGCAATCTTAAAATGCTATGGGAAGGGAGGAAAACAGGTACGAGACGTAGGAAATGGTGAAGGAAGTAGTAAGGTAAGCAGTGTAGAGTGTGGGAACCGGAAACCGTTTGTAGCAGTTAGATTAATGTATCTGCAATGCTGAAATGCTTTGAGAAGGGATGAAAGCATGCCCACGACATAGGAAATAGCAAAAGAAGTAGTAAAGGCTAGCAGTGCGGTGTGTGGGGAATGTTTGTGGCAATTAGATTAACGTATATAAAATACTAAAATGTTATGGAAAGTGATGAAAACAGGTCCCCTACGTAGGAAGTGGCTTAGGAAGTAGTAAAGTATGAGCATAATGTGAGAACCGTCTGTGGCAGTTAGATTAATGTATCTTCAATTCTAAAATGCTATGAGAATGGAAGGAAACAGGTCTATGACGTAGGAAATGGCGAAGGAAGTAGTAAGGCTAGCAGTGCAGAGTTTGGGAACTGTCTTTGGCAATTGCATTAATGTGTCTGCAATCCTAAAATGCTATGGGAAGAGAGGGAAACAGGTCCACGACGTAGGGGGTGGTGAAGGAAGTAGTAAAGGTGAGCAGTGTTGAGTGTGGAAATGGATTAATGTATCTGCAATGCTAAAATGCTTTGGGAAGACTGTAGACTGTAGCTTTGACTATTAATACAACAACAATAGTATCTGTATCCAATAGTCAATGACTGTAGGTTAAAATGATAACGAAGCACGAATTGATACACATTTTCGATACATGCAATTGTTTATAGTCGAAATTTACAACTGAGTTGACAACAGCTGTTATTTACTCCATAGAAGCTAAAAACGATTTTACTCCCTAAAGAGTAAATATGCTAGACCCGCAACGCATGCATTAAAAACGACTGTTTTTACTGCAGTATGGCAAAACAATATAATATGAACCCTTGATGACTCCACTCAATTTTGTGGATGCCTCTGCAAACGCCACCTAGTTTGAATGGGTTTCATTACTTCACCGAGTGAGTTTTTGAAACATCACATTTTTGTTTACATCACACTTGGGATAGGGAAGTTTAACATGGCGGGTTGGGTAAATTGCTTTTATTCTCTGCGTCTGTAGTATTTCAAATGATGTTATGACAAACGCTTTAAAGAGAAAGCAGTCTAAACTTATCATATTTATGTTGATATAACTGATGGGAATCGAATCTGTCCCTCCCATAACAAAATCGACTAGGCCAGCAACACATCCCAATGTTGATCAGATGAGAAAATAAAAAAAACACAAATATTCAGTACTGGTACATCAGTAGTGACAGTACTGTAGATACTTACATTGACTATACACAGACATTCTGTGTCTGTGTCTGTGTCTGAGTATAGTCAATTATACCATATTATACTTATAAGCTCAGTATCAGTTGTTTTAAGGATTTTTATTGGGTTAATGCTTAAGATACTAATAGAAAATGATATTTTAACTAGTAGGTTACCTGTGCTGCGTGATTAATAAAACTGCAGTCCTGCAAGTTACTCAGCTCTCTTCGTTTAACTCTTTTGACCCATTCAAGAACACCTGTGTGAAATTCAAGGACTTGATCATCATCAAAATCACAAATCATTGGCAAAATACTATGAAAGAAGTACAGGTGGCGCTCGGATTGGTCGTGTTGAGTGGAAAAAGACGGAAACTGTGTATGTTGAAGGTTAGCCCAAGAGGTTTGGGAAGTCTCATCAAATTCCACCGGCGACTCAAACTCTTGATCAGAAATTACATCCACATCCACTTGAATCTCCTCAACTTCTTGCTGGCCTTCTGGGTCATATACTTTGGAAAGGAACAACAACTGGTCGTGGTGAATGTACTTCTTTAGGGATTTTGTAGAGGAGCCTACTCGAAGCAGCTCTTGCCTCTTCCGCCAATATCGGAGCCAATTGTCCCTCAAATTGGCCCATTTCCCGATGATACTCCTTCCTGCAACAAGGAGGAATTTGACTTATTTCAGGATATGTTAATAGGGGGAATGTTAGTCAAACTACTATCTCGAACTTTATTAAAGGTAATGACATTTTATTAGCTTCTGTACCCGTGCTTCGCAACGGGAAGATGTACTATACCTCCTAATCCAAACACTTGTTAAGTAGTTCGAATTTATAAAAAAAAAAAAAAAACAATTTATACAAAAAAGTATGACCTACATTGAATTGTCTTACTCTTAACATTAAAATATATCAATAACATAATTGTCATAACTTACGGTTATAGAATATTTCTTTAATTACATAATCAATTACATAAATAACTAGCAGAGTACCCGTCCTTCGTATCGGTTTGGCAAATAAGTATAAAGTGCTTATTTCAGTTATAATACTCAAGCTTTGCTTTTGTAATGGGAAATGACACAATTTGGTAAAATTACATTTAATTATTTCTTTAAATTTGCGGTATGCAAAAATATAACACATCTATCTACCATAAGCCATAATGTTCTACCACTGCACCTAAATCATAGAAAAATAAATTATAAAATATTCGCACAATATCACAAGTTATTCATCAAATTACAAACACATAACTTAAACAATCCTACTTTGACAGTTCACATTGAGTATCACAGCTTTTTGTTACTGCTTAGCTCAAATTGATCTGTTAAAACAACATTGATCTGTTATTGATCTGGAAATGAAAAAACATAATAGTGCTGCATAATAGTAAGCATTAAAATGTTATAAGGTTTATTGCGTATCATAGAACCAACTTAAATAGTTTAACAGCTGACTAAATTCTTTATTTCCTTTTGAATATGAATACTCATAAGGTTAACATGTGGAACTATATAGAGCCACTGGGGCAGAGCCCGAAAGGATTTTTGAGATAAGAATAGGCCTATATGTTAATCGGGAATATGAGCTATCATCATGCCTAATTTCAGCCAAATCCATCCAGTGGTTATTGCATGATTGAACTTCAAACAATCAAACAAACATGACACATACAAACCGAAAATACCCCTGCCGCAGCAAACCTGTAGACTAAGCGAATTTCCATTTAAATAACCTTTAAAAATATAACATTTATTCCCTATTTAAATAGAACTATTTTTTTTTTTTTGCTTGTATCTACGCCAGTGGCATTTTTGTCAATTTTAACGAGTACTTAGGTAGGTTTGCTGCAACAGGGAGAGTAAAAAAGTGGGTTTTTGTTGTAAAATGTTAATAGTTTAGTAAGAAAATTGTGTATTTTCCAAATTTGATCAAAAAATATGTTCTTAAACAAGCAAACTAGGCTACAATAGTTGACTTAAATTCTCCATAAGAATAACATGAAAATTTTATATTTAATATTTTTTGGAATTTTCTCCATAACCATTAGGCGCATAATAATGCTTCAATATACTAAATTATTTGTTTTTTAAGTTCTACAAAATGGCTTGGAAATAAATTGTGAAATTTTGTGTTTTTAGCGTCAAAAATGGGAAAAAACTATTTTCCCATAAAACACTCCATAAACCTCCGTTCCCATTGTCCGATCATGCTGGTTCGATATCTCGTTCGAATAAATGTATAATTACATGTTTATACCAAATTTCATCAAAATCAGATCATTCCCTATGTGGGAAATTTGCTAAAACTGTGTCTATAAACAGAGCCTTTTTAATAAATGGGGCCGGGCAGGAGCACAAGAGCAAGAGGGTTTAGGTTTGTTTGGGGTCAATACAGTCTGTAAAAAGAATTTTATTCTAAACAAACAACTAATCCATCAAAAATTTAGGAAGGAAATAGAATGTTAATAACAGTACACCTCTATGTGGCTTATACAACTTTTTTTTATAAAATAAACTTAAAATGTTAATGCTTTACTAAAAAAAATAAATTCCTTAAAAAAATTGAGCCCAAAATTAAAATTATGGCTTCGACAATTACCTTCCCCTCAAAATTATCTGTCCTCTAAAAAGAGAATTATGGAAACCCGGCCAATGGCCAATGGCTGACACAGAATCTTTAAAGGTACAAGATAAGTGTACAAAATGTAACATTTATTATAGTTCCATTAAATTTTATACTGTGCTCTCTATGTATTAGGTTTTATCTTTTTGTCTGGAAGTATTCATTTTGTCAAAGCCTTCCAACAAGTAGCTGTTAAAAACGGTTAAAAAATATTTTCTTACTGATTCCATAAAACCTAATGTTATTAAAATATATTTAATTGAAAATCAATTAAGACAAATGGAAATACGCTTAGTCGGCAGGTTTGCTGCGGCGGGGGTATTTTTTTACCCTATGGTTTAGGTGAAATGGTGGAGCATGGCTATGGTAGATTTGTAATACAATAGTATACTGTAAATTTATAGAAGCAAATTGCAAATTTTATCAAAATGTGTCCTCCCCCATTGCAAACGCAAAGCTTTAGTTGAGTATAACTGCAATAAGCATTTTATATTTATCTGGTAACCAGCTGACCCCATACGAAGACCGAAGACCGGGTACTCTTCTAGTCTATACATAAAGCTAGGAAGGATTTGAACTTTTGAGAAAATCATAAACCGCACACCTATGGATCACATACTTGAACAAAAGGTCTTGCTGTGAAACTTCCCCGAAAAATATCAGTTTTTTTTCGATTTTTAAAAATAGTTTGTTTGTTTACTTTTCCTTGAGTTAACCTTTCGATTTTAGGTACCATAGATTTCTTATTGCATCAAGAGTAGAGTATTTTCCCTTGTAACTTGGACATTGATAAAATTGATTTACATAATGAATAATACTTAATCCTTAATCAACCAGCAGTTTGCATTGGAGAATAATTTGCCACAATTCAGTTTAATACATAAATTCCTTGTTTATTTTAAGTAGGTAATTTTGAATGATAACCATTGTAATTGGTTTTCGTTGTAAACATTAAATTCAGTATTCGTGGTATAACCTACAGAACTGATCTAACTCAAACACGTGATCAAATGTAAACAAACAGACGACAACTGAAACTGTGCGATGTTTGGCAACACTGTCAAGGTCTTTCATTGATACCGCTGTCACGTTTGCACGACTTGACAACACCGCCCCCTCTTGGTGCTGATAACCCGCCTCCCATCCCTCTCTCTCGCCGTTTCCTGCGAATGCTGCAAATCATTACCATTACCACCTCTTCATCCCCCCCCCCCCCGCGTTATCACGCGAAAATTATTGCCAAACTTGTTATCGCTTGATTGTTGTGGCATTTGAAAGTCGGTATTGTTTGAGTACGATTGCGATGTTTGCGTTACGTTTGCGTACGATTGGTGTACTCTACAAAACAATTAGGGCGTTTGACGTCATAAAGTAGATTGTTTTCTATTGTGTTAGATTCCAAAAATATTGTACAATATATTCTTTATACATTGTTGGGAAAGTCATAGCTTAAGAATAGTATGCACATTGAGCTATAGCCTATCTGAAAGAAATTTTGCACAAACATTTAATACATACGAATTGGGCTGCGTTCTGCGTTTGATTGGCAAATCAGGATATTTTCCTCGGAAAACTTTGTAACTTAAAGTTTGACCATTTCTACTCACCAATCGCTATTCTCTCCGGTTCTCCGAGGTCGTGGTAGTTGTCGATGAGAGCTTCGCAAATTTCCGCCCAGGCCTTCCTAGTCAACTTCCGGTTCTTGTAAACTTCTTCCTGGCGGTCCCACAGCACCGGACGTTCCTTGACCAGTGTGATGAGCCTGGTGACGGACACCGCCTCCGTGTCGGACATGTCCGTGCAGTGTATTGTAGTGTACACTCACACTGTGTTGTACACGGTGACGGGCGACGGATGAAGTGACGCGCATGCTCGCAGGACGGCCCGGCGAGGCATCGGATCACGGCTCAGTTGCGAGTGTTGCGACACATCTCCTTGAAACTAGCTTCTCTCATTCTGTTTGTGTGGTAATACTGTATTGTAGACCTACCAAGCATTTATTGGCTCAAGCTAAACTACTGTCGATTTTGTATATTTAAGAGTGTCGAACTGTCCAGTTAGTCGGGTGACTCGTGCTCGCCTTCAAATCCGAAGGTCGCTGGTTCGATTCCAAGCTAGATCGATTATGGACCCAGAGACTACAATTGAGACATTAGGCTATCGATTGACGATGATTTCTAACGGTATTTGACCTTTACAATGGGTGATCGAACTATGGGAACGGAATTTATGGTGTAAGAATTGATTTTCCCCATCTTGACCCTCAAAACTATAATTTGCAATTTCTTTCATAAACAAATTTTTTAGAGCTTTTAAATATCAAATTTCCCCGGTTAGATTTTCACTAAAATGTCTTAAATTGTCAAATTTATTTTCTATTTAAATCACATTTATTTTAATGAGTGTTCTTATAGGTATGCGGATACAGGAAAGGTGTTGTAATCTTTTTGAATGTGCTACTGTGTATGAGCTTGAGCAGTGGAATGAGCTTAAATAAAAAAAATTGATAAGAATGCATCCTGGTGGTGAGGCGATGCGTGTGTGTACAGTGTCCAGACGCGCACCCACGGCGCGCGGGCGCACGCCCCTCCCTCGCCGTTCCCCCGCGCCACAACGACCAACACTCTCATATTCTAACAAGTTGCCGCAAACCGATTTCAAATATCTCAAATAGTTAAAAAGTTAAACGGGGTGCAAGTTAATTTGCAGCCACCCTCATGGTTATTTCGATTTGAAATGTTTTAGGGCGCCATTTTGTTATTAGTGGGCCGATTTTGGTTTTCTTTATGTCAATTTGTACGTTTCGTCAAGACCTGTAAAATGATACCAAACTCGACTATACTTGTCATTTGAAAAATTTGAGCTACCCCCTACCACCACTACCCCTAAGGGCAAAATTTTCAAAATTGACCATAATTATTGTAGCCCCTTATAGCTAAGAAGGTTGCCACAAACAGATTTCAAATATCTCAAATGGTTGAAAAGTTAAGGGAGAGTGCAAGTTACTTTTCAGCCACCCTGTATAATTATAATAATTGATTTAAGGTTGGTTAAATATTTAAATATGAAACCTTATTGTCCCTATACTAAACTAGGCACACAACTTACGTCAAGCAAGCAGCTCAATAACATACCCACAGTAAACCTGCATACTAAACGAAGTTTTATTTGCCTGTTTTGATTTCCACTTAAATCTATTTAAACTACATTTTGTTAAACGAACAGCTAGGTTTATTGACTCAGGGAGGGTATTTAGTGGAGCCACCTGTCGGCTGCAAAATGTGGCGCGAAAATGGTCCGAGTTCCATTTCCGCGCGACGCTACATTCTACGGCGCACCGTGAAATGTAGCGCGCTGCAGACTGTCGCTACTCGCTAGTGGAGCCACCTTTGTTTGATCGCTTCGCTCCGCTGCCTTCTCCTTCCCATTCCCTCATCTGAACAGCTACAATAACGATTTCCAGCGCGGGCGGCGCGGCAACGGCAATCCGGCAATCTCCGGCAACGGCAAGTGGAGCCGCGGCATAGCCGTCTCTATGGCCGCGGCCTTCGTGATGGGGACGCGCCAAGGTCCGCGGCCAACAAGGTCTACGACCACCAACCTGACCTACGATTGGTGGTGCGAAATGTCCGAGCTGAACCAGTTCCGTGACGGGTGAAGGGGATGTAGTCGTGTTTGCTGCCGGTAGACCTTGTTGCCAGTGGCCAACGCATCTGTTAGGCTGGTGCCGCGGTCAGGACAAAGTCTCCTTTATATAACTAATATGCATTTGTTTATTGATACTATCATTATTATTATATAGTATTTAAATGGGATAAGAGTAAGACTAATACAAAAGTAACCCGTGCTATATATTTGTATAGCATTTTTGCTACTAAGATAAATAAATCTAGTTTCTGCTAAAATTCTTAGAATAAAAAAATCCTTTTGTATTTATTGAACTTAATTACCCCATTCGAAACCCTCCTATAGTAGGTGAATAATTTACTTTAAACTTTGTAATGTTAAATAAATATTTTAAAATCAGAACGATAGTTAAACTTTAGGCCAGAACGATATCATAATAAGTTTCATTTTAAAAAGGCGACTTAAATTTTTGGGGAATGCTATTATTGTATTAATTGTAATAATTATTACTAGGCCTACACTTATATTAACAATTGAGTTATTAGATTTTACGAGGAAATCAATGTAAAAATAAAGCTTGTTATACATAGCACTTATTGTATATGTATGGCTGAGTACCATAAGAAACAACGCCTGCAAAAACTAGTATACCTTTTGCAAACTCCGCCGTATTGTGGGATGCCAGGACCGCCTTTTCCATTCATTTAATCAATGGATTGTTAATCTTTGTTGCTTTTAATAATATTTTATTTATGCGCTGCTATGTTGCAGTTTTGTACAATTTTTCAAATTGCATCATATTTTCATTAATTATATAGTACTAGAGAACCCGTGAGGCTCAATGAGCCGCATAGTATGAAACATAACGCCAAGGAAAACGTCACGCTTAAATTCGAGTAGTTTTAGTTACATCTTACAGTTTTTTGAAAAGTTATATTAGAAACTAATTTTAAATATCTCTATTTGCGTCGTCAAGGCTGACTTACATTATTCCTGCTCTCAGTTTTAACTGATGACTTCTAATGAATGCTAAACGATCTGCTTCAATTCGAGGCAACATGTTGCAACAAAGTGTTTCCAGAATTGAGAACTTAAGAAAACCTTATCTGCCTTACTGATTACCTGTGTTAAGTAATTTAAGTCAAGTCATTTTATTTCTTTGATTTGAGACATACACCTACCTACGCAAACGAATTTTCTCCGTAGAGAATCCTGAAAAGTGGGGTGATATCAACCATTTCATGTGCTACATGTTTTACTCACAAACTCTGGGTTACCAACTGGACACCCATAATCTGCTTTGAATAGGCTAAAGCAGCAAAAACATTGAAAGTTGTTAACGTATTTTAAAGTGTTGTCTGTCAGTATTTGCCACTCATCAGAACATTCTCACGTTAATCAGTGAAGTTTCTCCTAATACCTTTCCAAAAGTTTAGAAAGTATGGATTCATTTGTCAAAATAGGTTAGATAAATATTGTAGCTATTAGACGTGGATAGCAATTTTCATTTTCTCTTTTTGAACAGCGTATGTTATTTGCCTCTACTAAATCATAAAAATATACTTGTCTTGAACTTAAATATTCGATCATTACCATGTAGTATTAATAAAAAAAAATTGCTTCACTTATTATATATACCTACATAGATATGTCATCACTAGGGCGTAATGCAACTCTTTTTGGCATTATCATATAGACATTATCAAAAATTGAAATTGGTTACGTCTAAACCATCAAACATTTGACAAAACAACCTCGTGTAAGTTGTAAGTTTGGCTCACTCCTTATTTCTATTTAAGTTATTTTTTTATTTTTGTTGTTTGTGTAGTTGTATTGATATGTTCCGTTATTGAGATTAAGTGTTATAACGACTAGTTACCCACGGGCTTCACCCCGTTTGACTTCTTAAGTATAAATAAAACTATTGATTGGTTAAGTTAAGCTGAAATATTCAAAACAGAATACAGTAATATAAAAAAATCACACTTATTTTAATAAAGAAATAAATTGGAAGAATAACAAACAAATAAGTACAGCTAAGTTATTTTTAACAGGTATATGGAAAGTTCCCTTTAGAAATTAATTACGACCTTAAAGGGCAATTTACGAAATAATAAGTAAGACTATTTTAAGAAAACGTTAAACAATAATCAGCTATTGAAAAATGTAAGATACTTACAAGAAATGTTGATTAAGTTTATATCGATATGTTATGTACACCTTGAGTATTTCCATAATCTTTGAGACGAATCTTTTAAACTCATCAGAAATTATTACTGTAATTCGTTTTTAAATAACGCCTGTAATACTTAGGCATTGCTCGAATTAGAGCAAAAGGGACCTAATATATCTATATCTATCTATCCTATATATTAAAATCCTATATATTAAAACGAAACAGGGTTTTTAGCGAATTTCCCATATAAGGAATAAGCTATTACCGTAGGTCTCATGGTAAGACCTAGACCCGGGACCGATTTACTTTTTCGTTTTGAGGTCCCCAGAGGCCAAAAACACCATCCGTTCAAATTCATATATATATATGTGTCCGTTAGCGCGATAACTCGAGCAAAACTGATCCGATTTTGATGAAATTTGGTACAAACGTGTAAACCTACATTTATTCGAACGAGTTCGCGAACCAGCATAATCGGACCATCGGATCAGGGGTTTATGGGGGGTTTTATGGGGTAAAAATGGGTTTTTCTCATTTTTGACCCTAAAAACTTTAAATTTCTAAACTTCTCTCTAGACCATTTTGAAGAGCTTAAAAAAACAAATAATTTAGTATATTGAAGTTTTTTTTAATGTTCATTGACTACGGAGAAAATTAAAGGAATTGTAAATTTAAAATTCCCATGTTATTCTTATGGAGAATAAATAAACTGTTCTAGTTTGCTTGTTTATGGATATATTTCAATCAAATTTGGCAATTTGGCTTATTTCATACTAAGCTATCAATATTTCAATTGAAAAAAACACACCTCAACATCTTTCCCGTAGCAGCAAACCTAACTACTCACTAAAATTAATGTTATTTAAATAGGAAATAAATCTGAAAATTTATAGGGAATATTTTAGTAGAAATCAAGCCGGGTGAATGGAAATTCGCTTAGTATGCAGGTTTGCTGCGACGGGGGTATTTTATTTTACGATTCTGAATCAACCACTTGACGGATTTTTATGATTTTTGTGTTGAAAGAAAGATAATTTTGAGAACTAGGGAATGTCGAGGCCATAATTTTAGTTTAGGGTTTCAGTTTTTTAGAAATTAAGTTTTAATTTTCAAAAAGTCTAGCAGCCGACGGACGAGTTAAAGTCGTTTTTGTGGTGGTTTAACTAACAGCT